TGCTAGGAGTAAATTTTGGAGCATGTTTGCTACTTAGCAGGGAACTAAAATTCAGGTATGATCCCGTTAAGGAAAAAAAGGTTTAATTTGATGGTAGTAATTTTATCCCATTTAATATTGTCCTTATTTTACTGTAGCTGAAAATGGTTTCCTCAGTAATAAGTCCTTGGTGAGCTTGAATGAGTTAAAAATTTGAGAAATAATATTCTTATGGTTGTCAGTTTGTGCATTGGGTTGTGCTGTATGATAGAAGTCATCCTTCACTTAAAAACAAAATGACCAACAAACAAAACCAAACCCAAATTCCAAAAGCAACTTGTTTGTATGAACGCATTCAAATTCAATGATACTTATGTTTTGAAAATATTTTTCTTTCTAGACACAAGAATTTGTAAACGTCGAGAGTGAATATGGGTGAGAAGAAGCCAGAACCTTTGGACTTTGTAAAAGATTTTCAGGAGTACCTCACCCAGCAGACTCACCATGTGAATATGATTTCTGGATCAGTTAGTGGAGACAAGGAGGCAGAGACTCTTCAAGGAGGTAAAGCTGGTTGCAGTGCTGTCCAGTTTTTGTTTGTTGGGGTTTTTTTTTGAGAATGACTGCACTGTTTAGATTCCAGATGATTATGCAGACTATTAGAGTTGTATGGAAGCATTTCTGATAGTGGTTTTGACATCACTAGAGATGTGTGTGTACCTTTCTTTTAATCAAGCTTGGTTCTAATAATTCTGTGTATTTAAAGACCAAGGGCATAGAGAAGCAAAAGATATTGGGCATATTCTCACAGCACAATAGATTATTGATTGAAATCTCTTCTGTACTATTCACAGCTGGGGCAGAAGGTGATCAGAATGGTCTTGATCATCCTTCAGTTGAAGTTTCCCTGGATGAAAACTCAGGAATGTTAGTGGATGGCTTTGAAAGGACATTTGATGGGAAGTTGAAGTGTCGATACTGCAACTACGCCAGCAAAGGGACAGCCCGGCTCATCGAGCATATCAGAATCCACACAGGTAGGGAATGGTATTACCATTGGCATGTGAGGAGTCAGTATCTTCAAGCAGTGTGGTAGTTCTTAGAGTTACTCAACAATTAGATTTGGCTTTGGGGTGTTTGGTTTTTTTTTAATAGACTCTTTTTTTCAATGTGTGCCATTTACCCATTTAAATGATGCAAATTTCTGCTTAAATTTATTACTGCAGACTACTGAAGTAACTAGATATGGGAGTAAAGTTTAGCATGAAAACCATCAGTGTAAATGAAGGGCCCTAAATTAAAATTTTAATTTTTCCTTCCTAGTCAGGAAAGTGAAGAATGTACGTGTTGCCACGTGGAGATTTATAGGGGCTTTTCTGCCTCTCTCAGGAAAATATTCCTGTTTTGTACAACATATTAGATGTGCAAGTACAAAACATACTAATAAGAAAAAAGTTTTCTTATGGGTAGAATATTCAAACGTGAGGATGTATCATCAAATAAGTGATAAATAATAGCAATGAATAGAAAAATTACTGTGGCTTGCTTAAGAGCATTTGTTGCTCTTGGGTTTATGAAGGTGAAGAGCAAAACTCACAATAAAGGTTAGAATATCCTGAACTGCTAATGAAGCCAGCTCCAGTTTCTTGGCAAATGAGAGAAAACAAATGAAAGGTCCATGTGAAGTCTGAGTTTGGTGCCTGGCAAGTATGTTACACCAGTGTAGAAGACTTTATGGCTTTTAACTAGAATTGTAAGGAGAAAAAAATAAATGTATTGTGTAAAAAAAAAA